CTCATGCTGGCTTTTAACTTTAGTCTCTAGATCTCAGCCTCCTGAGTAGCCAGAATTATGAGCATGAGCCACCTGGATCAGACATAGACTATCCTTTTAATTGCTTTTTCACTCTTATCTTTTCTCTGCACTTAAAACTTTCTTTTAGAAGGATGGTTGAGAGGCATTGCCTGAATAAAAATAACAGAATTCTACTCCCAAAGACATTACTTTTTTAATAGTGTGAAATTAGACCTAAATTACTCATTCTCATCACTGTTGACACTTTGGCTCACAGTTGCTCTCCTCTCTTCCCTCTCCTCCCCTTACCTTTCTTCTCCCTTCCTTTTGTTTTCTTTCTTTCCCTTTCTTTTCCTTCCTTTCCTTTCCTTTCCATCTGAGATCTGGACTAAAACTTAGTACCTGAGACTTTCGATCATTGGCTAGTACTCTACCAACTGAGCCATGTTACCAGCAATCTATCACAACCATCACTTGTTTGTCTAAATAATTTAGTTATATTTAATAATGTAATTTATATCTTAAATGCACTGCACAAAATCAAGCTAGAAATGCACAGTTCCCAATTTGTGTTCACTTTCCTGTTTAGCTAAGAAGAAAAGCATTTTGAAGTGTATCTTTCTTTGGAAACAGAGGAATGAAGTCTGACAGTGGTCCAAAACAAAAATGGCTCCTCAAGGACACCAAGAGGAGTAGGATTTCCTTCTAGAAAATGCTGCCAGAACTTGTGCATTTTCTATTTAGGTTTCCCAGGTGTCCCTAGGAAGTAAATATGTTAGAGGACCATGAGAAGTGTTTAGAATGAGAAGAGCTATTACTTTTCATTAGTGGGCAACTCTGTTTATTGAATTGAGCACATGATGAGGATTCCAGGTGTCCACAAACCTGGAACCTCAAACCCACCTTCTTAAAATGCCCTAATTGATTTGCCATGCTGAGATTCCTTTAAATATAAAACTGTGTTCTTTGTGTAGATTAAATCTCTTGTCAACTCCAATGCTAGTGATTTCATTTTCTTACACAATGGAAAGAGCCCTTTCAAACAAGAGAAGCATACAATTTTAGAGTTGATCAAATCAAACATCTCCACTAGGGCAGTAAGTTAATAACAAATGTCACTAAAATAACAGATTGAGGTTTGTAATCTCATTATATATCTACAATCTAGTTATGCTGTGCTTCAGATTCTGGATAGTGGTTGACACATAAGCAACACATTAAGTCACAAATCCGTGGTACCTGAGTTTCTCTGGGTTTTCCAGGTAGTTATGTTATGCTTACAGATTCTATAGTGCCATCAAGATCATCCAGTAAAGGGAAGAAGATAGGGATGAACCTTCAGTAAAGAATAAACTCATGGCGTCAGGATCACTTCTGCTTTGCTCACTGTTGCATCTTCAGAACCCAGAAATGTAGCTGCTTCATCATAGGATTGGTATCTGGCAAAGAAAACATCCAGTGATAAAAAAAACAGCCATTATCTCCAGTTCTTCAGCATATTTTGCAGTGTGTATAGGGGTTTGATGTGGTACCTTTCATGAAGTGGCTGTTACCATTGTAAGTCATTATTCTTTGTTCTGTAGAAAACTTAGGTGCACAGAAGGGAAACAGTTTGCTGATAAATCCAGAGCAAGAATCTGGAGAACACAGTGTATGATAGCCTGTCTCTTCTTAGCCTAGGAAGGAAATGCAATGTTGAACTGGTTTCTTGGTTTTGCTACCAATAAGTGAAAATTTAATGAACCTTAAATATTACAATCCTTTTCTTTGAAATACTGAATTGATAGTTGACTAATAATAGCATACCCAGATGCAAATAATCCATCCACAATCTTTATACTAAGACATAGTTTATTTTCATGAGATACACAAAGAAAGTTTATATTGAGCATGATTTCCCTAGATAGTTTAAGCTTTGGATGATACAGTTCTTTTTTATTGGGTTTTAGATTTTTTGAATCTACTTGTCATATCCACTAAGGCTCAAGTAGGTAATTAATTCATTTTTCTTTCATTACAGGTAAATTTAATTTATAAAATGGTATGTGTCTAGATTGATGAATAATGTGACTAGTCTCAGACAAAAGAAAGAGTTCCTAATAGATATGTGATCTTGAACAATCCTCGATACCAATTCTTTAATGGAACTTCCACAATTTGATACTTTTATAAAAAAATTCTTTGTCATTTTCCTTTGCTTTTTACATACTTGCAATCTCAGCTCCATGGGAGATGAAAATTGGGAAGATTGAAGTTCATGGAAAGCCATGGCAAAAGTTAGTGAAACTCCTATCTCAACCAACCAGTCGGATGTCGTAGTTTGTGCCTGAAATCTTCTAATAGTGTGGGAGATATAGATTTTTAGTTTGACACTAGCCCTGCATGAGACTCCATTCAAGAAATACCAGTTTATAAATGAACCTGTATGGTAACAAATGAAAACAGGTTAAATTTTGAAGGAAGACATGTAATTGCTTGAATCCTGGTTCTGCCAGCTAAGGCTATGCAGCCTTAGGACATTTGATTCTCAGTCTCATTTTCACCATTTAAAAAATGGAAACAATAGCACCTAGCAGATATTTCCATGATAAGAGATGATGCTACTTTTGTTAGGAACTAAGTTAAGTAAAAATAACAAGGATGCATTAGCCCATATAGGGGAAGCTTAAGCCCTGGTGCAGTGGATTTATATAGTCTGGGTATGAGACAATTTGTTCCCAGTGTATCCTTCAAAGTCATAGCAGCACTGTTACCCAAGCACTTTTTTAACACTAGCTGTGAGAAACATCACCTCAAGGTCCTGACTGATATTACCTCACTCTATCTTGTAGGACTCTTTATCATGATACTGTACTATCATACATTGTAACGAATACCTCATGATCCCTGCACAAGTTCTCCTATTATTGCTTCCATTTACGGGCCGGAGTGAAGTGAGGAGTATGTGCCCACCATGAACTTTAACCCCTCTGCCCCAGTTCTGCAGGATCTCGATGGGAGACTGTTTCATTTGAACACTAAGAAGCCAAGCTGGACCTTCTAGTTTCATGTTCTTTCTCTCTTTTGTCAGTATTTGATACTCTATCTTGCCAGCTTTCCAATTGTCATCTGTAGCTTGTGGAAATGCTGTTACATTACTAACTTTGATGCAGAGTTATACTTTATATATATATGTGTATGTGTGTGTGAGTGTGTGTGTGCATATATATATATGTATATATATATACATATATATATATATATATATATATATTTGAGAATGTGAGTGGCCAGAGCTCACAATGTATAATTTTATGGGCAAGGATTTGCAAATAAATATGCTTATATGTGTTGTAGATTGTATAATAAACGTAGCAAGATAAATGTTGTGCAGATAGTTTTATGTATAGTTTAAGTATATTGAGCTATTTGAAATAAGAAATGATATTTGAATCTCAAGGTATGTACTACATATATAGTGGTGCTGGGTTTTTGAACTTAGGGCTGAAGTCATGGTAAGTAATTATCTACCACTAGATGAGCTAGTCTCAAGGAATATGTCCCGAAAGGATTTTAAATAATATGGGTAATATTAATGTGAGCTATTCTCTATACTCAGATGGGTACTCTATAGTTAAACATATCAGGTGGCTCTCTGAAGCTCAACTCACATTAAGTGTATGATGATGACAAAACCATGACATTTTTCTTTGGTGACATTTTCCAGCTACAATTAAATTTTACTTTGTTCACTTAACTCTCAAGTGTGTAAAAGGAACTCAGGGTTAATTGTTTCAGTCATTATCTTTAGTAAGAAATTTGGTTATTTTTTATTGAGTAGTATACAGAACCATTGGTGATTTAGCAACAATTGACAATAAATTAATCCAGATGGGACCGATAACATAACAATCTGTGAAATGAAGAGTAAAAAAATACTCAAATATCTTTGAGTATTTACTCCATGGTAAAGACAGATTGGAATACAAGGGCAAGAAGAACAATTTGTACTTCTTGTCTGTTTTGGTCTTGCTATCCAGTGATCAGTCAGGTGTGGTAAACAGTTATGCATCAATGCACAATTGCATTTAATACTGCCAGGAGAGGAGGGTGATGCTATACTCTGAGAGTCTGTGATAAGGAGAACCAACCTGATTAGAAAGGGGTAACTCTGGAGTGGAGTTTGGATAACCTCACAAGGCTTGTCATAAGTCTAAACTTAGTCCACATACTTGTAACCAAACTTTCCATACTGAGGCATTTTTCCTAAAAAGACTAATGTGAGATGAGCCAAGCATCTTAGCTATCAGGATAAGACACTATTACTTTCATTGCCAAAATATTGCAGTGGGTTAATTTGTGACATTATTAAAAATTTGGTCAAATACAAAAATTCCTTTTTGAAAAATATATCATAAAATGCTTCCTAGTGAAATATGTAATAAAACATTGGGTATTAAAAAGGCTTTGCCTTTACCCTGACTGCACTTTTTCTACCTACTCAATTTATCCTACTTGATTTCAAATAGCTGCTAATACTAGCTGCCACTTAACCTATACCAGCCTCATATGCAATACTGTACATCCATTATTCAGAGTAATTTCATATAAACCAGGGATATTATTACTTACTTATTTGGGGGTATGGGAAAATTTAAATATACCAGTCAGGTACCAATGGCTTATACTTGTAATCCTTGCTACTCAGGAGGCTGAGTTCTGAGAATTGTGGTTTGAACCTAGGAAAGTCCATGAGACTCTTGTCTCCAGTTAAGTACCGGAAACCCTGCAGTGGAGTTATAACTCAAGTGATAAAGCACTAGCCCTGAGCCAAAAAGCTCAGGGGAAGCACTCAGCCCTGAGTTCAAGCTCTAGGACCAGCATCAAAAAAGGAAAAAAAAAACAAAAAGAAAGAAAAAGTCAATAAACAGGTGTATTCTCTATGCAGCAAAGAATAATAATAACTCATAGATTTCTTATCACATTTTGTCTAAGTGAAATCTCTCATTCCTTCCCAACAGCATTCTGTGAAGAGGGCTGCAGATATGGCGGAACATGTGTGGCTCCTAACAAGTGTCTCTGTCCACCTGGATTCACAGGAAGCCATTGTGAGAAAGGTAACCTAGGCTGCTGGGGGGCAGGAGGATAGGGGAAAATAATGGAGTTGGAACAAATGGAAGCGCCACTCTAGGCATAGGTTTCTGTGGAGTGACTTCACACATTGTGTTTTGATGGTGTCATGGCTCTCTCAAAGGGGATACCTTTTGATTATTGCATAATAGCCTTCCTCCCTCTGAACACTGCCCTTCATTTGCCCTCTGTCCAACGCGTCTTATCTAGCAAGGTCGAGTTTTTTCTCTGCTAGGCTTTGCAGTGTGCATTTTTGTTTTAGTGCTAATTAGAGATAAAGCCTGATGAACTGGCCTGCCCCCTTTATCATCAATTGGTTGCTCTATGCACGACCAATGGAGTTTTAACAGTCTGCTGTGTCAACGGAATCTAGATTAGCAGCACATGCTTCTTACATAAAAGCATATTAAATAATTCCAGCAGCAGGTTTATTGGTGAGCTTGGGATTTTATTCTAATATTGGTTTATTAGTGACATTATCATTCATAGACCTGATAATACAAACAGATTAGTATTAGTAGGATTCCATTGTGTGCACTTTTTGGTTTGCAATAAATGTAGTGTTTACACTTGTACCACTCAGGTTGAATCCAGCTGCCTTACTGATTAAGAAGGTCCTTCCTGTGTACATGTGAAATATTCACGTCAATATGTGTTCAATGTAAACCAGACGTTTATGCCACAGAAAATAAATACATAAATTACTCTTCCTATGTCCTTTATCAAAACTGAACACACTGAAAACACTGCAGTGCATTTTTCAGAGTTTGGATATTACCCTTGATACATCTGACAGCACAACATAGTAAAACAGAGATAAGCTGTTATAACACTACTACCAAATGAAGAAGAGAGTATCTATCTTTCACTGAATATCTAAACAGAGGAACTCTTTTCTTCCCTTCAAGTTTAAAAGTTTCTACAATTAGCTAATAAGTTCTAAAAATGGGCCCATTTATTGAAATCTACCCTGGACAACTTAATGCACTGAACTGCCTATATATTTGTAAGGTAGCCTCATCCTTTTAAAATTATGTCAAAACTGAACTATATAAATTATTTAACAAAGAAATCAGTGGGCAACAGCATTATTTCTCTATTTTGCAATGTTACGAATGAACCAAATCGCACTTATTATATAAAATTAATTAAATGGTTTGTCCTTTAAAAAAGTGCCAAGTACTGCCTCTGAGCAATGTGAGAGAATTACCACATGGAGCTTAAGAATTCTTGCCAAAAGCACAGAAACTTAATGGTAACTTAGCATCCAGGCCCTTATTGCAGCACATTTAATTTTAATTAGGTTTTCTAAAATGAAAAAAAAATCTAAAGGATTCTCATTAGTGTTTCTAGGACTCCCATGTCTCTCTAAAATGAATATCTAGGATTTGATGGGCAAAGCATGGTACTGATCGTAGTGACAATGATGGTAGATACTGTTAGTAATGAAATGCCATTCATTATGTGCTAAATATATATATATCAGATTTTTCAGTGAATATGCTGATATCAAGAAAAAGAAAAAGCTCATTACATTGTTCATGTAACTGTAACACCTCTGTACAGTATTTTTCACAATAAAAAACCTATTTAAAAAAAAGAAAAAAAGGAAAAAGAAAAAGCAAAGTAGTAGGTCCTTTTACTTCCATTTTATAAATGGCAATCCAAAGCTTATCCAGGGGTCAGTTAGCATGTTTCATAATTATTACAGCTGAACATAGAACCCATATGTGTGCTATGTAGCTGGCATATGTTTCTCAGAAGTAATACCTGGGTGTTGCTGGCTCATGATCTGAGGATTGTGGTTCAAAGCCAAATACAGGGAGGGAAGTTCATGAGACTGCAAGAAACCACTCAGAAAACACCAGAAATAGCACTGTAGCTCAAATGCCAGAGGGTTAGCCTTGAGAAAAAGCTCAGGGACAGTGCCTAGGCTCTGAGTTTGAGCCCCAGGACCAGCTAGCAAACAAACAAACAACAAACAACTTCTTGTGAAAATATTGATTCGTGGGCTGTCTTCTTAGACAAAGAGAGTGATAATAAAGGTGGTGAGTTAACAAATCTGTATTTCCACGAGCACTTCTATTTATTGCAGTATTCCACTAAAATATCTACAGGGAGGTTCTTTCTTATTCTTTTTACATTGTATACAGTGGAGGGGGAGGGGCCTACCAGACCCTGTGATCAGTAGTGGCTATAGGAAATACTGAGTCTGATTTCTTATGCATTGTTGATGTATCTTTTCCTGCGTGATTGAATCACTCCTTACCCTCTGTTCCTTCACTTGGAGCAATAATAAAAATATAATAATAGAAAAAAATCAAGTTTAGAGGATGAATAAAATGGAAATAGGGAAGCTGTTTGTTATTAGACAAATCCTAACGTTGCAGGCACTTATTACATAGTCTTCAATTCTTGCTTCATCATCATGAGGAAAAACAAAACAATAAAATGAAAACAGAAAGCTTTCTCTCCATTTGGTATTTTTATCTGTAGCAAAGCCATTCCATTTCACAGTGGCCAATCTTATACCAAATTCTATCATCATTTTCATGGGCAAAAGAAACAAATATTTTTCTAATCAGTTGTGCACAATAGATATAGATAATGGTAAGCCAACTATTAAATCTGTGCTGTATCTTTTCCGAATGTTGTTGTCATGGAGATTATTATCAATAAGAACTAAAACAAACCTACCTGACATTCAACAGTGATGCTGGGTGTCTTGAGAATTAGAGTACCAAAGGAAAAATGCAAAGATATTGTGAATGTTCTAAGGCATGATTGCACTAAATCTCTTGTTTGGTGTATTTTAATTTCAGGGCAAACTACATGACTTCATTTGTGCCATATAGGATTCACTTCCATGTAGGCCCAAACATGTGTCTTTGGTCACATGTTGAGACTAAATGTAAATGAATCCTGTATTTCCTAAGGTCACATGTAGTTTTGATTTTATTCATTGCTTATGATACTTGGCCTTTCAACATTGAGGTAAACTTAGTTCCGTCACTGAAATCATTTTGTAAAGCAAATGTGTATCTAGAATATAACGACACTCACATGCTTTGTATGGGACATTAACCTCAAACTCTTCTTCATTTGTTTTCTATAGATTTGCGGTTGTCAAATTTTTTGTTTTGACAGTTCCACTCAAGAACATTTTACTTCTGTTGATTTCTCCACATTATACTATGTGTGTTCTTTTCTACTGTTTGTTTCTTTTCTCTGCCTTTGGCTTGGCTTGGTTTCATATTTAACATGGAAATGAATAACAAATGAGATGAAAGACTGAGGACATAACTGTGTATTGCAAGGCCCTGATTTTCATTACCAGGACCAGAAAGGGAAAAAGAAAACACAAGGAGATATGGAGAGGTAGGAGATAAGTACTAAAGAAGCAGGAAGAAGAGTAGCTTTAGATGAAAAATGTTTTAGGTAAAACTCTCTTCTCAACCTAAAAGCCAAAGGGATAGGATTCTACAAGCATGTATAGTAGCCAAACACAAAACAAAATGAAAACAGAACTAAACAAAATGCACTTCTCTTACATTTTTTTCCAATTATAAAATCAAAAGTCTACCCTTAAACCAGAAAAATATTAACTGGCCAAGAAACAGATTTAGGTGAGTCTCAGATTTCTGCTTGGTATGTCTGCTTAGAAACCAATCAGTACACATTAAATATAACACAATCAGATGTTATATCTATGTCTAGATTGGATTTATTAATCTGAAAGTTATCTGCATTGCATTTTGAACCCGATTTTTCTTTGTTATGGAGAGATTTGTTATTTTATTAGAATATGTCAGTGTCTCTGTGAGCGTTGTTCAGTAAATATTACTAGTATTCCTGCCACCAGTCAGGAAAATAAAACATGACTCCATACATTACCATACTTCCCCTGAAAGCCAAATCCTTGCCTTTGAGAACTCCCTGATATCTGGGTAGCTCACTCCTGTAATCCTAGCTACTCAGAAGGCTGAGATTTAAGGATCATGGTTTGTGCCAGCCCGGGCAGTAAAGTCCATGAGACTCTTACCTCCAATAAACTACTCAGAAAAAAAAGGCAGAAGTGGTGTTGTGGCTCAAATGGTAGAGTGTTAGTCTTGAACACAAAAAGGCTCAGGGACAGCACCGAAGCCCTGAGTTCAAGCCCCAGAACTGGCAAAAACAAAACAAAACAAAAAACAAAAAAACCCACCTGACCTTTCCTCTGCATTGCATTTAAATGTATTAAACATGTATCAAGTAAACACTGTGACACTGTATTGGGCAAGGACTAATGACAAGATTATAATGTAACAATCTGCACATAATCTGTACATGTTCAGCACAGATGATTTTCAATTCATGGCTGCTTGAATCTATGGGTGTTGAAACTCCTATGAAGCAGAGTTAACTGTATTTCTCTATTTTAAATTTCTTTCCTTTTCTCTAATAAACATAAATCAGTTGTCTTCAAATGTATTAATATTATATGTATACACATACATACGTGTTGACATATAAAGACAACTGAATCTCTATACTATGAATCAGGTATAAATCCATGGTTCAAATGATCAATGAAATCTACCTTTTTTCATCTGAGAAGAATCAAACTTTCACAGTAATAAACAAACTGCCAGTATCACAGTAATTTAAAGAAACATTTTATACATTTTGTAGATGAAAAATAAACATCTTAAAGTATCTCTTGGACTATTTTGAAGTACTCATCACTAACCAAAATTAAAAAATTCAGAGTCTGCTTGATACCCATCATATGGTTTGTGGGGTACATCTCATTGTCTGAAAATCAGACTGATATGGAAAATCATTAGAATCTGTATCTACCCACACATGTTAACGGAGTGCATGTTGGGATACTTAAATTCACCCAAGTAACTTGAACTTTGTGTTTCCCTGAGGGAAGAGAGGACTTTATCTTTCTTTACTAGAAGGATATTTGAACTTATACATATGAATTCATATGTATATGGAT